AGATAGAGAAAATCTTTCCGATTATAACAGTATATTGGGCTTTCGGAAAGGACTCCTTCGGGCTTTGTAAGGACTCCTTCGAGCTCCTTTGGACCGAAAGAATACTGGGTTTCACACTCAGTGAGCACTTCTAGTCGGCTAGGGTGTGTTTACAGCTGTAATACCAATCCGCTGCATAAATCGCATGTGGATTTTTTGATGAAACCAGAGATCTCTGCGACGCTCCACAATTTTTTCTACATATCCATGTGCTTTTTCAGAAAAAAAAAGACTTGGTAAAAATGATTTAAAATGTTTCAATATTTGACAAACTCGTAATGAAATATAGATCACTGTTCAGGAGGCCAAAAAACTTTGATCGTATCCAAGACTGATTCCAAAAAATCGTTACCTAAATCGACATTGGAGATCACAACTGGGACATTGGCGAAAAATAAATGGAAAGTCGCAATAATCACATTTTTTTTATCTACGATCATTTTGCGGCACATGAAATCACACAAGTAAAACTCGTTGAAACGCCTTAAGTGTGAAACGTACTTCAATTCTGGCTGTTACAGCGAACTGAAAGGTTACCTTCAGAACTCAATAATATCACTGGAATTGTCTAGATTTGAGCTATTGATTGAGCCCAAAAGCAACTTGAAAAAAGTGAAAAACACCCTTGTTTCTGAAGGGGTGCGGAAATCAGCAATATTTCAAATGTGTCAAATTTATTCTTCTTGTGCGATTTGCAGAGCTCTAAGAAGTTCTTTTAAAGAGCAAGCAAATTTTCTCAGTTAGAAAGATTTGCTCCATCTAATGGTCACAATTTTCATAGCATCGACTGTTTCTAAAACCTAGCAATTAACATTCAAAATAATTAAAAAGAAAGAGTGTTTAAAGCCTAAGCGAGGTTGGTACGCCGGGGCTATACACGCGTGTTTTGGAGATCTCGCCCTCGTAGTCAGTGACCCACGCCCCACATTAAGAATTGTAACAAGAAGGGACGCGTATGTGGTGATGGCACAGTGTACAATGACACTGTGCCATCACCACTTCTAAGTCGATGGATTGTGGCTGGCAGAGCAAACTTGATCCGTGGCATCGACTGTTTGTAGAATTTTACAATAAACATTCGAATTAATTTTAAAAAAAGGAGTGTCCAAAGCCTAGGCGAGGTTGGTGCGCCAGGGCCATTCACGCGTGTTTCGGAGGTCTCGCCCTCCTCATCAGTGACCCCCGCCTCACATTAAGCTCTGCATTGTAGCAAGGAGGGGTCGTCTTTTTTTAAATTTATTTTGAATAGTTAAAATTTTGTTATAGAAGAAACTTTTATCAGGCGAGGAATCTTCAAATGCGAAACAAAATCTTATTTTAATTGGTGTGCGGCGTTAAAAACTAGCAATATGAGAAATAGAATAAATTTTAAAATTCACTTGATTTAAGCTATTAGATAACCATATATTCGTCAAATAACAACGAAGAATACGATATTACTGGATGCCTTAATGGCGCCGCCATAATAGAACGATAAAAGACGAGACTTCAACTAGGTCCTGACGTACTAAACACTTTTAGTAACGCGTGGTTTCTTCCCAAGTATTCCTTACTCTAAGTGCATGTGGCAAAAAATTTTGGTTACACCACTTTGAATCCGTACCGGAATTTTTGGTGGAGGAAAAAGAGTTTGTTGGAGTACATCAAATGAGATTGGTTCCTTTCAAGTACAACTTTGTACGTTTGTGGATTAAGGCGAGATCAACTCGTAATTTCTGTTCAGTTTCTGCCTTCCTAGTGGTAGCGCATGTATATATAAATGAAGTTGTTTCCGCTAGGAATCAGTCCCATATAAAAACGACGTTAAAATCCTTTTTGGATTTTTATTTGATTTCAATGATGTTTATATAGGCATGAAGAAACCAAGAGTGCTTTCATGCTTTTTTTGGACACCACGAAGTAATGCGTTTCACCAAAGTCAGGAAAACACGTTGTTGATTTCGCGAAGAAAGGTTATGAAGCGTAAGAAGTTTGACACTGAGCAGTCCTCGAAAATCCCCAATGCATTCAATATCATCAAGACTGTCTTGGAGGTGAATAAATATGCCACAAGTTTCCCTAATTTTCTAGAATATGGTATTTTCTCTGACGATGAAAAATGAGAGGCTCAGCTAGCCAGGGCAGTTACGCAACACCTCCAGTCACTCCGTTATATGCTCTCTAAAGAGAGGGTAAAAAATAATAATGGTAATGTTGTATTGATGTTTCTCAAAGTCCAGGTGTGAACAGTGGTACAATTCGTATTCCATCGAATCGTTTCAATTCGTTGAACATTGGAGAAAAGCAAGAGTTTCCAAATCCGTTTCGTTGAAGTTAAACGACAGCGTGGTTCGAAGGCTTCTCAATCATAAAGGAATACTCTTACATTCTGATCGTGATTACCAAAAAGATTGTGTGCATGCGGTTGTCATCATTACAGAGAAGCTGCTCTGAGTTGTCAGGAATATAGCCGTCATCATCACCATCAGTGCATAAAAGAACTCATAATGCTTTGCTGTGGGGGCGAAACGAAGGTCGAGGGTCGCTTAGATAATGTGGGTGGTTGTCTGATTGATAATAGCTTTAAAATTCAATGTGGAGGTGTGAAGATGTGAAAAAAGTCAGTGGAAGCTTTAATGATGAGATGGACTGGAAGTTCTACCTCAAAATTAGAGTTTGCTTTATCACACAGTTATGAATTTAGCTAAAAAACTAGTGGTGAGCAAGGAGGCTTAGTCGTCACTTCTTTTGTAGAAATGACAGAATGACCATTTCTGTCTGATCAGTATGAGTGAATAAGATTATTTTTCAGGTCTTAGGAATTCTTCACGCTGATGATGTGGGTTTCGAGAAGTTTTATGCAAAACCAAGTTTGACTTACTTACTTGGATGCTTGAACGGTCTGTCTTCACGAATTGTATGGACCCCCGGCACATTTTCAGTTCGTCTCTTCTTGTGAGATTGTCTCTCATAGTGATGATTTTATTCGAGCATGGCGGCTGGCGCTAGTTCCATACCGTGATCTGTAGGATATCGGCAAGTGCGAATAGAGCTGATGCCAATGCAGATGTGAATGCAGTTGATTAATTTTTCTTATAAACAGGTCCGCTCAGCGTATAGGTAAGTCATCATCCTCGGAGACTGGTGTCTTCTCACAGAGTCCTCTCTACAATTCGTTTCGTCCATCTGTCGCCTGATCTTCTTACTATATGTCCGGCCCTCCTATGTTTCACTATGCATGTTCTTCTGGGTCTTGAAGATGTGGTAACTTTTGGAGAACTGGGTTGCGGAAGACGGCTAGGTGTTGTGACTGTCAACTGATTTTCAGAAGACATCGTTGAGGCGCTCTGTAAGTCGTTCGCGCTGGTCTTGACGTAGTCGAAGTATCAACCCACGTTTCAGCTGCATAGCAGAGAGCCCAAGGACGTTGAAGCGAAAAGGTGAGCACGGAGTTTTGGGTCCGTAAGTTGGTCGGTGACTTTTTTAAGAGGCTCGTATGCGGCCCATGCTGCTCTCCTTCTTTTGTCGAGTTCCTATTTCATGTTCTTCATATTCAGTGAACGACCAAAGTTCACATACGAGGAGTACTCCATAATTGAAGAACCATTCAAATTGATATGTTCATCATTGCACCAGAGCTTTTACATGAACTGAGTGTTCATGCGATTTTTTGCGTAGTCCAACCTTTCCCGCTTCATTGAATATGTAGAGCATCCTCTCTGCTTCACGACTGGTTCTTGAGAACATGACGATTTCATCCACAAAACGAATGTTTGGCAGGAATTTTTCATCAGTTCGTAAGCCCTTCTCGTCCCAATCAAGCGACGAGCCAAGTGTATCAGTGAGTTCAACCATTTCTATCCAGTTCCCACGCTCAGTTTTGACACCATGGGAAGTTATCGAGAGGACTTCCTTTGTTTGGCCCACGAGGTTCTTCTCTGTTCCTGTTCCACCATTAAATGATGTTTTATTAGGTTGGTGCAAAAGTAGTGGCAGTTTATGCATTGTTGAAATTTTCCGTTTGAAATTACAATAAATGCTAAGTAAATGTGGATATGTTACATATCAATAAAAAGGCACATTTCTTGCTCTGTGTTTTCTGCCTAATCACGCTTTACTTGCCGTTCATTTTATATCTATTTAAGATTACGGAAAGGAGGTCAGGCAGAAAGCAAATTCGAGGGATTTTTCTACACGAATTCAAAATGGGCCGCACCGCAGCAGCGACATCTCGCAAAATCAGCAGATTTCTTGGTCCAAGGATTGCTGACAAGCGTACAATACAATATTGGTTCAAGAAGTTTCGTAACGGAGACGAGAGCCTTGAAGATGATGAACATAGTGGTCGACTAAAGGAAGTTGAGAATGACCAAGTGAGAGCAATCATCGAAGCTGTTTTCCTTAATACTCTATGAGTAGGGATTCCCATTTCGATCAGTAACGATGTGTTTGAGCCTAGCGACAATCATTTGAAAATTCACAGACCGAAATTGCCACTATTTTTGCAGCAACCTGATAGTAATGCTGATGTTTTTTTAGCTGCCTACGAAATGCATGAAGTGTGACAAGCAATTCAAGACGACTTCTCGACTCTGGGAACACATTTCTACAGTACATTTGTGAGTAATCTTACAATAGTTCTGCAATTAGTAGTAGACATATTCAAGATTTTCTATGTTTTCACTGCTTTTTTCGCAGTATCATGATGCTTCAAATAGACCTAGGAGAATTGAATGGTGGGCAAAAGTCCGACCTCAAGCGGGAGTTAAACCCGCGTTTCACCCTACCAAAAGCGCGTGCTACCACTGCACCACTGGGTTTCAAAAAAGCAGTAAGAGCATAGGAAATCTTGGTTATATTATATCACGATGGTGGCCAGCTTAAATGGGTTTTTAAGCTATATGTGCTTAGATGATCAAACGTGTTAATGGTTGGTGGCTGATAATTATGATATGTTGAAGAATGAGTGATAGTGAAACGATTCCTCTGTGATGTAGTGGTAGCACGCGCCCCCGGGATGAGTGAAACGCGGGTTCAACTCCTGCCTGAGGTCTAATTTTTGCTCATCACTCAAATCTCTTAGATTATTAGTAGTGTGAAGATTTGTAATTTGATGTTGTTTCAGAAAAGAAGCCTACCGTATTTGTGGAGAATGTGGTCAAAAGTTCAGCAGTTGGAGTGGTGAGTATTCAGTACCATGCTGTCCGTCAACGTTTTGTTGAGGATTAGTATCGTAATTCCTTGCAGTTCATTTGGAGAAATAAAGGGACTTGTTCTATTACGAAGAACCACTCTGCGTTGTATTTTACTCATACTCATTCACCAATAGAGTAGTTTGAGCAAAAGCAAATGTTTATGATAGCCACTCTTGCCAGCGTTTTTTGAGTAATAAAAATTCTCGAATTTTGAGTTATTTGTGCGTTTTTCAGGGCTGAAAAGGCATGTGGACATTATCCATGACAACATCCTTTACCTGTGTCCCTGCAAAGATTGTGACCATCCTGGATACAAATGTAAACAGGCTAGTGTTTTGTGCAGGATAAACTAAGAAAAATATCTTGTATTTTTGCGTTAGTGTCACTAACTAGCTGGATTTTCTACTAGGTAAGTACTTAGCTCAGGAGTGGATAGATGTGCTGTTCGTATTGGTAAACAAATTGATAAACTAAAATACGTGCGAAGTAACAAAGCTAAAAATAAGGAGATTAGGCAGTGGTGGCCAAAGAACTCTGCTGTGACGAGTTTATATCAAACTATCTTGAAAAATACCCGAGATTATCTATTGTGTATCCGTATATGGTGTATCTGGCTCTGCTGGCATAAGGTAGCGCTGTGAAATGCGTTGCTATTGCTACTCAGTCGGTCCTCTATCCGTGTGTCTCCAAACATCTATCAGTATCATCCGCTTCCACTGTAATCACTTGCTGGCGTAGTAATTTACACCGTTATATCTTCCAAGAAGAGGACAACTACTCATCCTTTAGATTGTCCCCAAAAAATGACATCTATTCTCACTCATCTTTCATTACGCTTAAATTGATGGAAGCTGCAAAAGTTATCCGTAATTTTTAGAGAATGCTTCAATCGCCTAAGACTGTCTGAATAGTGAAGAAGTGACTTAGTGTGTCAATTAGTCGCTATATTTCTAATAAGTCTGATATGTAGCGATAATCTCACTTTCACCCTTTTATGTATCGATATTCTTCTTCGTTAATGTTGATATTCCGTAAGAAATCATCCTTAATCTAGATTGGTCTGCGAACATATTCAATTCAGACTTACTTCTGTCACGATAATTTCTCACCCAGTTGAAGCATACCAGAATTTCGTTTGTTTGTTTTTCTGCAGAGTGGTTTGCTTTGGTGCACAGAAGTAAAAAGGGATATTTTTTGTTAGATGGCGACAATGAATATTCGACTTCAACTGCTGGCAAATGATCTTTCATAGGAGTTATAACATTGCTTGAAAGCGTAATTCTCTGGCTGGAGCCGTACATAGCCAGTTTTTCAAAACACCCTTCTATAACGCTGTAAAATCCAAGATAAAATTATGCTTCACATCCTCTGTGCGCCTTCACTTTTCACTCGTATCATTCACTGGAAGCACGAAGAGCTTATAAACTTTTAGAGGAAATTTCGTAGTATTTGAGTCAGTTTCTTATCTGAATTTTCTCTCAAAACAGAAAAAAATACTTATTTGAAAAACAAATGGCATCCCACAGAGAGCGCATGTGCGCAGAGGTTAAAGGTGCTCTGCGTCGCACACAGGCTCAATGGTTCGATCTCGCGCTCATGGCTCACCAAGATATCCATACATCCTGGGTCGGTTCGTAGCAGACTGATCTCGGACTTGTCTGGGAGGATAAGCAACACTGACTCGGTTCAGCGGGAGGCCACCGCGAGTCATTTTAAAGGCCAGATATGCATCCAGTCACATTAAATGTAGAAAAAAAATCGAAGACGAATGCATGGCGCATTCCTAGGGGACTGATCAACGCTGAGAGCTTTATCCTTTTATCCCACATGTCTAACACTTTAAAACATCGACCGATCTCCCCGCCCCCATCGCCTTGCTTAGCCGGTGAACAAGCTCGTCGAATATGTGAAACTTGACCTTATTTTTCCTGCTACATGCAGTGAAACGGTCTTTACTAGAAAATAAGGATAGCGTTGGATTTATTGCGACGTACGCTATTATATGATGACTAATATTTCAAAGGAAAAGCTCTGTCCAACAAGGTTCAACGCATTAATCTTTTCTTTCTCCTACAGCGCTATCAAAAGAGCTTTTCCAAGAGGCAAACACATTTGTTAGTTCTTCGAGACTTGTACTATCAAAAGAGTAGTAGCTGTCTAAGAGAGTAGTTTTGTCTAGCGATTTAAGCAATTCTTTTTGTTCTCGCATTTTCACCTGTCATTACTCAAATAAAAAATTAGGGGACCCGTAGTTCACCATGATATCATTTACATTTGTTTGTTAAGGCGTTAGCTGCACACATTCGTTCGGTTCACAGAAACACTAAATCGCATGTGTGTGAGACCTGTGGAATGGCATTTTTCAAATTCAAAGAACTGAGGATGCACAGACTGACTCACACCTGTAAGAGAGTGTATCAGTGAGTACTCACCATCTCCACATTCTTTGTCGATTTATTAAGACTAATTCTAAGAAAAAGATTTTTTGATGAGCCACATGAAAGTAGAATTCGTTGCCACTTGCAAATTAGGATTCCGACGCCCTAACTCACGAACTCAGAATTAGCTGTAACATTTATTTCGTAGTGTTAACCAACACCAGAAGTATACGGTGATCCTGTGAATTCGATATTGTAGTTTTAATGGAGAAATCAACTACAACCTTGAGAAAAAGAGTGCTATTTTCCCTGCTTTAAGGTGTTTATGTGGCAGCACGTTTCGTTATAAGGCAGGCCTGGAAAACCATCAACGGTTGTGTATTCTGGACTAAAATGAATCATCTGCGGGTGACAACACTGAACAGTTGGACACGTCACCCGGAATACTCGACGATTTTCATTGTTCATCAACTCTCTTTCTTCATTCATCTATCGAAAACAACGTTGTTATCTAAAGTTTGATGCTTATTCACTCCGGCTTCAATATAATGTAATGCTGATTCACCTGAAGAAAAGAGCTTGCTTTGAATTAAGTTTTGTAGTATAAATTATGCATACTGGCTCTTCTTGTATTTTAAATAGCTTTTATGATGTTCAAATGAAATACTGTGTTGACTGGTATTACCATGTTTTAAAAATCAAAAAATCTGCCGATTTTCTTAGCCCATTCAGTTTCGTTAGAAAATGTATCATTTTGATGTTCATATTTTGATGTCTTTTGTTTTACATCACTGTGGGTATTATCGTTAACATTTGATTCTGTTCATTTCTTTGATTACTTAATTTTTTTTTGAAGACACGTAGATTGCAAATCATCCGTTTCAGTTACATTTCAATGATAAACCAGTGTTCGGAAGTGCATCACAGTTCTCCATCATGCCATGTTTGGTTATCTGTGCTGGAATATCTCTGTTTTGAGCCTGTATAGTCGTTAGTTGTCGAACGCAAGGCTTTCGATCTTCCGTACTGCTCGGTCGTTATAGGAATTTTCATGAAATGTTTCTGAACGTTACATACCAACAATGTGAATTGCCGAGGTGTAGACTTTACTTAAATAAACGTAGTACTCATATCCTCTCTCAGCGCGGAATTTTTTTTTCAATTAGTTCGTATTAGGGAAGAAATAGTGATTGCGGACCGCCTCTGATGATCAAATACAACGAAAGATAGTGGGATGGCTTACTGACCGCCAATAGAACACATAGTTTAGTTCATACAGATGACGTTACGTGTTGAGATTTGATTGTACTGTAATGGGGTTATTACCGACGTGAACTTGTGCTGTACAGAGATTATATGCCCATCAAAATACGAGATGTAGATGATGCGTAGATAACATTCCATTAGCCTAGAGTGGATCCCAGGCTTGAGAAAAAGCCGGTTAGAATTCAAGAACTAATCTGACGTCATGGCGATGTGCTGGTGCTGGTTGGACGGTCAACTCACCCCGTTGAAATGTTGTACGACTTTGGAAAAAAGCCAAAGAACAATAGGCGAAAAGTGCTATACTGAGTCGTTCACCGTGATGTGAATTACATACCATGGTATCCGATCGCTAACGGATTACCAGCGTCTTACTGCTGACGAGCACGGCCAGAGTGACACTAGTATTTTTTTTGATATCATGGGCAATACGCCAAATTTTGGGTCGGGCAATACGCCAAATTTTCGGTCGAAGGTTGAGGACACAATTGCAGAATATTTTCAACTTGTATGAAACGAAGTGAACCTCGCAACAGTATACCAATCTCAACACTATGTCTAGTAATACAACATTCCCTCATGTCCTGGCTAAGTATGTTCACGTCTCCAAGATCCTTTTTATGGCAAAAAGTCCCGTGGGATCAGGAGGCTGGCGCTATAGTAGCGTAATTCTAGGTGTGGTCATTGTAAGCTATCGGACCATCTCTGTATGCAGATAGGGGGAATACGAATTGTGTAGATCTTATATGACTACTTTTTGAAAATTGTTCACAAGTCTTTGGTGCGCTCTCTTTCTTTTGTGACAAAACGCGATCTCCCATTGAGTTGCTCATCGGACCATTTTTCTCAACTGATTCGAGAGCCTTCAGTATGCCCTCTTTCATTTGCAGCAACAGCAGCGTTCTATTGACTGAACCCTTCTGTTCAAATTGTTAATTCGAGGAAGGGCTGGACATTATGCTGAGTAGAGCTGGTCATTGAATATTCAAATGCTCGAATCTCATACTATGCGAATTGCATGCTGTACGATTCCTCGCCAGAAACCACGAAATAATATTTAACGAAAGGTGTGATATACTGACGATACCAGCTAAGAGCAATCGAGTGCTCAACACTGTGTGTTTGGTGATAATTTCACCGGACATAGAGTAATGTGTGTTCGTCGTCGCCCACACAGTATATTTTTTAACTGACTTCAAAACAAAAAGAAAGAATTTGCA